TGAGTATTGTGACGTCACAGCATGGACATTTGAATTTGTAAAAGAAGGTACAATATAACTTTAAAACAACATGTATAATTCTGGAAGAGATTATAAACTCAAGTTAGATTGCACTGCAAAAAACCCATCATATATATGATATCAAGTGAAAAAGTAACCAAGAAAACGAAAAGGAGTACTACGTTTTCATTACAAGATGTTATTAATATATACATGTATAATGCATCATTTTTCAAAAATATATAAATTTCTACTTATAATCCAATTCTCACAATTTTTTTTTAAATTGAACCTCATATTTCTCGAAAACAAACATATGTATATAAATAAGACCGTTGATTTTCCTTTTTGAATTGTTTTACACTAGTCATTTTGGGGCCCTTTATATAGCTTGCTGTTCGGTGTGAACCAAGGCTCTGTGTTGAAGGCCGTACTTCGACCTGTAATTGTTAACTTTTTATACATTGTGACTAGGATGGAAAGTTGTCTCATTGGCAGTCATACCACATCTTCTTATTTATATTGAAAATGTACATTAAAGCTGATATTTAGAAATCAATGAAAGACGATGTATAAAAAGAAGCAGCCAAAAACCATAAAGTCAAACAAAAACAGAAATTGGCAAATACCAGTTCATACCTGTGGTGTACTATTCTCATGATTTCACCAAGCCCTAAATGAAGCAGAGGGGTTGACATATGAATTTTAAAAAAAAGCAAACATAAATATAATGTAAACTGATTCAAATTTCCTAGGTTATTATGAAATGGGTTGATATCCACGAGTAAACTAAATAATGTGCAGAATATTCAGAATATTAAATTTGTTTTTCAAAATTTTATTATCATGACAGTGCAAGTTACACGAAACGCTTTACATACAATGTTAATTATGTTCACCGGATATTTTGGCGATGAGCAAGATACCAGTATTGTTTTCTAGCAGAGGTCTATGGCATTTGCAAAACTACAATTGTTCAAAAATAAAACGAAAGAACTGCATGAAAAGATCGACATTTGTACAATTTTTTGTATCTTTATACATGCAATTTCATTTAATATTCATTCATCCGCCACTATTATATTAGCTTGAATATATAGTGGTTCATGTTATTTTGTGAATCTGATATCAAACTGCTGTTGTCCAAACCGTTTTTTGTTATGGTTGTAGATATTGATCTGATTTTTGGCACATTAGTGAACAATGATAACTTACAGATTGAGTTTGTACAATGATGACTTACAGATTGAGTTTGTACAATGATGACTTACAGATTGAGTTTGTACAATGATGACTTACAGATTGAGTTTGTACAATGATGACTTACAGATCGAGTTTGTACAATGATGACTTACAGATCGAGTTTGTACACTGATGACTTACAGATCGAGTTTGAACAAAGATGACTTACAGTTCGAGTTTGTACACTGATGACTTACACTTCGAGTTTGGACAATGATGACTTACACTTCGAGTTTGTACAATGATGACTTACAGATCGAGTTTGTACAATGATTACTTACAGATCGAGTTTGTACAATGATGACTTACAGATCGAGTTTGTACAATGATGACTTACAGATCGAGTTTGTACAATGATAACTTACAGATTGAGTTTGTACAACGATAACTTACAGATTGAGTTTGTACAATGATAACTTACATATTGAGTTTGTACAATGATGACTTACAGATCGAGTTTGTACAATGATAACTTACATATTGAGTTTGTACAATGATGACTTACAGATCGAGTTTGTACAATGATGACTTACAGATCGAGTTTGTACAATGATAACTTACAGATTGAGTTTGTACAATGATGACTTACACTTCGAGTTTGTACAATGATGACTTACAGATTGAGTTTGTACAATGATGACTTACAGATTGAGTTTGTACAATGATAACTTACAGATCGATTTTGTACAATGATGACTTACAGATTGAGTTTGTACAATGATAACTTACAGATCGAGTTTGTACAATGGTGACTTACACTTCGAATTTGTGCAATGATGACTTACAGATCGAGTTTGTACAATGATGACTTACAGATCGAGTTTGTACAATGATGAATTACAGATCGAGTTTGTACAATGATGACTTACAGATCGAGTTTGTACAATGATGAATTACAGATTGAGTTTGTACTATGATGACTTACAGTCCCAGTCTGTACAATGATGACTTACAGATCGAGTTTGTACAATGATGACTTACAGATCGAGTTTGTACAATGATAACTTACAGATTGAGTTTGTACAATGATGACTTACAGATCGAGTTTGTACAATGATGACTTACAGATCGAGTTTGTACAATGATGACTTACAGATTGAGTTTGTACAATGATGACTTACAGTCCCAGTTTGTACAATGATGACTTACAGATCGAGTTTGTACAATGATAACTTACAGATTGAGTTTGTATAATGATGATTTACAGATCGAGTTTGTACAATGATGACTTACATTTTGAGTTTTTACAATTATACCTTACAGATCGAGTGTGTACAGTAATGACTTACAGATCGAGTTTGTACACTATGACTTACAGGAACGAGTTTGTACAATGATAACTTACAGATCAAGTTTGTACACTGATGACTTACAGATCAATTTTGTACAATGATGACTTAAAGAACGAGTTTTTACAATGATGACTTAAAGATCGAGTTTGTAGAATGATGACTTACAGATTGGGTTTGTACAATGACAACTTACAGATCGAGTTTGAACAATGGTGACTTACAGGTCGAGTTTGTACAATGGTGACTTACACTTCGAATTTGTTCAATGATGACTTATAGAACGAGTTTGTACAATGATGACTTACAGATTGGGTTTGTACAATGACGACTTACAGATCGAGTTTGTACAATGATGACTTACAGATCAAGTTTGTACAATGGTGACTTATAGGTCGAGTTTGTACAGTAATGACTTACAGATCGAGTTTGTACACTATGACTTACAGGAACGAGTTTGTACAGTGATAACTTACAGATCGAGTTTGTACACTGATGACTTACAGATCAATTTTGTACAATGATGACTTAAAGAACGAGTTTGTACAATGATGACTTAAAGATCGAGTTTGTAGAATGATGACTTACAGATTGGGTTTGTACAATGACGACTTACAAATCGAGTTTGTACAATGATGACTTACAGATCGAGTTTGTACAATGGTGACTTTCAGGTCGAGTTTGTACCATGGTGACTTACACTTCGAATTTGTTCAATGATGACTTATAGAACGAGTTTGTAGAATGATGACTTACAGATTGGGTTTGTACAATGACGACTTACAGATCGAATTTGTACAATGATGACTTACAGATCAAGTTTGTACAATGGTGACTTACAGGTCGAGTTTGTACAATGGTGACTTACACTTCGAATTTGTACAATAATGACTTACAGATCGAGTTTGTACAATGATAACTTACAGATCGAGTTTGTACATTGATGACTTACAGATCGAGTTTGTACGCTGATGACTTACAGATCAACTTTGTACAATGATGACTTATAGAACGAGTTTGTACAATGATGACTTAAAGATCGAGTTTGTAGAATGATGACTTACAGATTGGGTTTTTACAATGACGACTTACAGATCGAGTTTGTACAATGATGACTTACATATCCAGTTTGTACAATGATGACTTACAGGTCGAGTTTGTACAATGGTGACTTACACTTCGAATTTGTACAATAATGACTTACAGATCGAGTTTGTACAATGATAACTTACAGATTGAGTTTGTACAATGATGACCTACAGATCGAGTTTGTACAATGATGACTTACAGATCGAGTTTGTACAATGATGACTTATAGATCAAGTTTGTACAATGATGACTTACAGATCGAGTTTGTACAATGATGACTTACAGTTCGAGTTTGCGCTTCATTCCAGTTGACTGACTTCACGCGGAATAACGGTCCTTTAACTTAGAATTCATACAGAGTGTCCTTGTCCAAATTTAATGGTAATGCCTGCAGGTCTGGAGTATATTTTTCTTGCATTAGGATGCTAAAACGATAGTAGGAGGTCGAGTTTGCGTTTTATTAACGAATCAATCGTTGACAACTCTTTACATAAATAAAATTTCACATGAATATACTCTAGATCTGCCAGCATCGTATTAAAAATCAATCGTACAATTTGTTTTTGCATAAATCTCTTTTGAACTGCAGTTATGACTGTGGTTTACCGTATGGGTATGCATTTAACTCATGTTTTCTATTTTTTGCCAAGTGCTTGGCCTTTGTGGGGAAGGAAATATTTATTGCATTACATCTTTCCTGGTGGCTTAGTTCACCCCTTCCTAGGCCAAGCTATTGCATTCTGTATTATTGTGTTATCGTTTCATGTTTTTCATTCATTATTATCTTGTTGTTAAAATGTATATGTACAATGTATATATTATTTATTTTCATTTGAGAAAACTTTTTACTCTAAATAAGTAAAAATTTCGCAATTCACATTCTTGTTTCTCTTTTTATTTATGCATTCATTTTTTGTCGAATAGAATGTAAAATACACGAGCAACTTTCTGACTCATACAAGGGAATGTTAAACCTCTGGTGGTTTGTTAGGATTGTAGGAGGAAAGCATAAACAATATTATTGATGATTTACAGATCAACACTGTCTCCAAACCTAAGATGAAACAATCGAGACAAACCCCACTATATCTGGGTGGTTGCAAACAGTTGTTCTGTTAATTTTATCCACATCTATTCGAGGGCATGCATGCACGGATGATTAATGCATCAGTCCCCCTCCACAAAAGAAAAAAATATTACTACACATATACTTTGAAAATTGAAGTAACAATAACAAAACTGTGTGGATTTAAAAGCGATCCATCTCTTTTGAACGTTATAAAGACTTCAGTAAGAAGGGGTGTTTCATTTACCATGATAGAATACATTTATATCAGCTTTTTTTCATAGCAAAAATATTTAAATGCAATTAATACTTACCCCCATAGATCTCTATGCTGTTTGAAGTTCTGGTAAGTATCGTTATAACGAGCAACCAAATCGGCACGGCGGTACCCATATTTGAAACTAAACCAGTTCTACAAACAACAAAGATTTTCACTTTTGTCTTTCTGTGGAATGTTCTTCATTAACTTGTCTACAGATCGTATTGTTTTATGCTTCATGCTTAGCTATTTAACACTTCGTCAGAGCTCTTACAGAAACCCATCATTAAACACTGAAATCACGGTTTCAAATTTCTTGTTCAATGCCATCAAAATGTCATTTATTTCACCCAGATTGGGTATGCTTTTTACAGTGTCTCGGTAATAGATTTACAATCCAATAATTCAGATAAATGAAATTAGTGAAAATAACATGGTACGAACCGGACAAATCGACCAATAAACATGATAAATAAAATTGACATTAACCAATTACACACATTTACCCTTTGCATCCACAAACAAAGAGGCTTAGAGCTCCACACAGCATCTTTTAGTTAATGTTTTAAATCTATAAGTGTGCTGTCATCATCCCTGGAGAAAGTAATTAGATTGCATACAACGAGCTTACACCATCAATATAGAAGCAAGGGTGGTATTGACATCAATTTAAACTCCATCTTGAAGAGCCCTCAGTTATAGATAGCCGAAGCTGACATGCGCATACAAATTACTGCGATATAGAGGAAAAATGAAGCATCTTTTTCCTAATGGAGATTTTTAGTAAAAAGTACACAATGAAACAACAAGTGAAGATGAAGATTTATCTCTTTGTATCTTTTTACTATGTTTTTACAACGATAGATGCGCAAGATTCAAGCAAAAGACGTAAAATTGGTAAGTTATTTCTTATAGTATATTTTGTCTGCATTATCGTTTTATTTAATTGAAATGTACCATTAGTATCTTAATCTATTATTACAATTGATTTTGATCTAAGATTGCCGTCATTTATAAATTTTCAATCGTTTATCGGAATTAAATGTAGATATATGTTTATTCTTAAGTGACTTTGTTTATGTATTTATGTCATACTCTTTTATTTCAATCATTTCTCAAGAAACAAGATATCGATCATGTAACATCTATAACTTGTTGTTACCCCTGGGGAGATATAAGTGATTATTGGACTGACCAGTATCTCATTCGTTTTATTTAATTATGTCCTTAGACAGAAGATATTCTCTTTAAGTAATTAACTTTTTGGTTATCACAGCACCTCCTATGGGATAACCTAATCAAATTACTGAATATGATAGCGCTAATTATTGGAAATCTGAATCTTTCCGATATATTATTTCGACTGTAAAATTTGTTAACAATTTTGGTGAAGTCAATCAGTGATTATAAAATGTATTTCTTTTTGTATTTCGAAGTCGTTGTATACAAATAATTCCAATACACTGATATCACAACAACAACTATATTTTGTAATCATATTTATGTAAATTAAAAGAAAAACAAATTTGTGTAAAACTCTAAAAACAATTTAATTGATCTTTGTGAAAAAGAATACACAATCTAGGTCAGTTAGTATATCTATTAGAAGACACTTCATTACATTTTTTCACTTCGATTTATGTACAAAATCCTCCTTAAGGATGTACTTCGGTCAGGTTTAGGAATTTTTGTCAGATGTTCGGACTCTGATTTTTTTCCTACGATACATGGTAAAATATTTTGCCCCATAACAACCATTTTATTTTCATATAAGACTTCAATAGCTCATAAAAGGTCATTTACTAAATTTTAAGCAGATTCTAGATTTCTTTTCTTTCGATTGAGACCCAAATAATACCAATGCAAATATCAGGTAAAAGTCCGAGTCAGCCTTTTCCCGCCATTTAAAAAAAAATAATATCTCGAAAAGAAGCTCCATTAACTATCAATATTTTTAGCTTATTTTGTTCCTTAACTAATGCTCTTCTGACTTATAGTATCAATTTTAAATTCTAGTTTTTTTTAATATCACCTAAGTACATCCTTAATGGCATACGATACAGAGACAGGGGAGGTAATGACGTTGCTAATATATCTCAGTGTAAAATGTTATTTTTCGCGACGTCAAACTGTGACATATCGAGAAAAGATGCATTTTCGACTAATTTTTATCATTCAGACTGATTTAACCTGAAAACGAGTTCATGGACTCCTCTTTTTAAAAATGGCATAAAGCTTGATTATGTAAGAAGATTATCTGTGCCAATTTTTATGAACACATCACCGATAAAATATTTTTAGATTAAATAAATGTACAGCCAAAAATGCCGTTTTTTGACTAAAATCATGAAAATGTGCTAAAATTTAATTATTTCCAAAGAATTGTTACACAATCTCAAAATACTTATGTAGCGAAGATGTTCAAGACTTTTTTTTACAAAACTCCGCTTGCATTTATCATTTGAAACAAAAAAGTTACGTGTGTCTTTCCATTGAATAGAAATGTCCAAGAAACAGAAATGTCCAGTAAATGGCTAAAATTCGACCCCATTTATCTCTAAAAGTAGCACATTAAGAGTATTTTTTATTACATATTTGAATTGACTAGGTGAAAAATAGCTTGTATGCAAACTTTCGTCAAAAATTCACAGTGGGATCAAAACTGTAACGTATGCCCTTAAATTGAACGTTAATTACGTGTATCGTACATGCCTTTGTTTAAATAAACATACATTTAATATAAGCGAGAATGTCATGATATAGTCAAAACAGCTGTCCACAAAACCGTCCAATATGGGTTACTGAAAATATAGTAACTATAAATTCAAATCAGTATGCACTACAGGGTGCGGGAGTTTCTCGCTGCATTGAAGACCCATTGGTGGCCTTCGGCTGTTGTCTGCTCTATGGTTGGGTTGTTGTCTCTTTGACACATTCCCCATTTCCATTCTCAATTTCATACTATACGAACACCTTTTGGTTTTAAGGTTAATATCTCAGACATACGTGACAGGCGCACAGTAGTCGGTGTCAAACGTTGATGGCAAGTGTAAAAAAATGTTACCACCCATTTCAGAATTAGTAAAACAAAATTATTTTAAAAACCCGTTAAACAGAGAGAAAGGTAAAGTAAAACCAAACTGAAAGCAATCGGGAATAAACCAACTATCTGACGTGTCCGTATCGATTTATATGCACAAAAAAGTGTACAGACTTAAGCTGGTTTATTCCCGATTGTCCCACTTTTTAAAATTTTAGAGTTCTGATTGTCCCACATGAAAAGTTCTGATTGTCCCACATTATTTTATGAAGTAAAATGTTCTTAGATAAACAATGTAACTGTTGTTTGTTTTGCTAAATAAACAAGAATTAATTTATTGCTCATTTAATATTAATTGTATAGAAGTATAAAAAAAATGTTTTTTAAATCATTAGATTAATGCACTTTTGATTAAAAAAAAATTTATTTCTGATTTATGAAATATATCTACAATGTTACGTTATTTATAAAACAAATTTCAATACCGTAATTTTAATTACATTTTCTCTAAAGTTTTTGAATAAATAATGCATGCAATATAAAAAAAAAAGGTATAAACTCATTTACATTCTACACTTTACACGAACTTGTTTATGGAGAGATTTTTCCAGAAGTCTTTACAATTTTACTAGGGAAGTCAGAGGACATTAATACAACATTCTCTGCACTATTGAAGACTACTAACACCCAACGTCAGATTCACCTGAACCCAACAACTTCCTTTTTTTGATAACGAAGCTGTTGTCTAGAATTCTGCCAGATCAGCCTTTCTAAGAATCAATATCAAAAACTATCCCAGATGAAATACAACAACCAAATACACGCCTATTGGACTTCAGATGGTCGTATATTTGTTAAAAGGGCTGAAAAAAGTAGAAAGGAACTGATAAATAGCTTTGATGACATCTCTGACATCGAACGGGGCATTACCGAATCACCTAACCAACAACGTTCAGATACTGATAGGAGTCCAGAAACAAATGAAGTTAATAACTCACAACAGTCTAATAATGGAGAGTAAAACTGTTTGAACAAAACATAACTGTTTTTCTTATCTAGTTTGAGCTGTTGAAATAATTGCTATACAATGTATATTGACTTTCCGTCGTTAATACCATAAACGGGTTTGTCTGAACTTGAAAATTTCAGTAGTAGACAGATGGTCTAATCCAACTAAAGCTTTTTTCTTTGTTTTTGTTTTAGTTATCTGAATAATTTCAATCAACTGCTAGTTACATCATTTATCCAACACACTCTCTTTCCCCTGTTCACTTGTACATACAATTGCAACTTATTTCTTTTTTCCACTGATATTAATAATTCCAGGCTTGACAATTCAAGTATAATTTTCAAACTCGTATTGTGACGATGTCTGTTTAAGTTCCTAAGTGACTAAATACATTTGAAAAAACACATAATATGTGATACCCCCCTTTTTTTAAACTGGATATAACAGTGAAAATTTGTACCCTTTAATAAAAAAAAATAAAAACTTTATTCATATTTAATGCTTTTTTCTCACCTAAATAAAATCAATACAAATAATCTAAATTTAATAAAACATTTTTGTAAACCCGATAGAGTTTACAGCTGTGATGATAAATGTAATATGACTTCATTTTGTTGAAAACTTCAGATGCCTCCACCTTTAAAGATTTATGTAAACAAAATGTTATAACCATGCAAAAACATGCAGTTCACTGACGTATACTCTGGTTTTTGTTTCAAATTTATGATAACAAATACCTAAGTATGAACAACTATATTGAACACTTTTGAATGATATTGAAATATAAAAGAAGATATTATTATCAAAACGTATTAATGATGAAAAAACCTGCTTTACTTTAAAAAATTGAAGCAGTTATTTTATACTGTAAACCCTTACGGCCTCTTTTGACGTTAATTGACACTGAGAATGAAGTTATCTATTTAAATTCGGGTGCGTTTGACTAGAAAGTCCTAAAATATTAAAGACTTCTTGAAATTTGAATTCGCAATTACATATACGAATGTAGCTATATCGCTGTTATTATTATTTTTTGTCTGTACTGCACCATGTAATGTATATGATGTATTTTGTTGTATTGATGTCACTTGTAGTATTTGTTTTCATCTTGCGTGGCTCTATGCATAAATGTTGAGTTTATAGGTGTTTCCTTTACTTATTTAACTTCTTTAATTTAATATTTTATTTAGAACTAATAAATTCTTCTCAATCAATCAATAATCCTTAAATGCAATTAGGTAAGAAGTTTGTAAACTTCCATAACCATATGATTTTACACGTAACAACATATCAGTATAATGCTTTTTAAAAAAAGTTCGAAGTCTTCAAGTAGTAAATCATTTCCCATTTCAAATACAAATGCTTTCTCTCATATTCCAAACCTTGTTTCTTTTGTTTTGTATATTTTTCTTTTATTTGTCTTTTTTGAATTTTTCCTCAGTTATATGTGATGATGTGTGTGGTTGTTGTGATTTATATATTTCGTTTTGCTGCCTTATTATATGTATTATGATTTCTATGATAAAACCCAATGGGTAATTGTATAGAACAATATAGGGCAGCTATCGGGTTATTTAACTTATGTAGATGCACTTTTAGACTCGGCAGCTTTAACTCACGAACTAGTGATAGCTCTTTAAAAGAAATATTACTTACCAATTTCAGATGCTCGTTACTCTTCGTCTCTCTCTCACTTCTCCAGAGCTTAAATCCGAATATAGATATTGTTTTTCTACTATTTGTTTTAAATGTCATCCTAATTATAGGAAATATTGAGACTAATCCAGGTCCGAATATAGATATTATAACTGACTCTACTAGCATAAATGAAACCTCACTATCCATATG